CTCCTTCTCCTTCTCCTTCTCCTTCTCCTTCTCCTTCTCCTTCTCCTCCTCCTCCTCCTCCTCCTCCTCCTCCTCCTCCTCCTCCTCCTCTTCCTCCTCCCTTTCTTCTTTCTTTCTTCTTTCACCTGCTGCCAATATTCCCATATTGGCAGCCCCATATTCCCATACCTGGGATTAAAATGAATACATATTCCCATAATATTTCTGTCTTTTTAAAGAAACTAAAATTACGAAATTCTCACTACATTTCCCCTTTCTGTTTTAAGCCATTAATTTTGCTGTGTGACAGGAAATTATAAACAGAGACATTTTCAAGGAAATGAGTGCTTTTCAGATCAGTGGCCCAGGTTTTCAGGAGAGCCAAATCCCCAAAGCCTTTTCCTGATGGTAAGAAATTGCCTTGGCAATCTTTCTTGGACCAACACTCATTGGTCCAATGGCAGCCCTTGCCATATTGCCTGTATGCCTTTGGAAGCCTAGGTCTTCTGGTTTATATTTTTAAAAACCCATTGTCGCTAGAAATACCTTGTTCATTTTTTTCATTGCCAAGTGCCATATTTCTTTCAGCTAACACACTGAGCATTTTGAGATCTGAGACCTTTAGCAGCTTGAACACAGTCTCTTTGCAAATGACCGTATTTCCTGCAGTTGAAGCACCAGGCATTTTGATATCAGAGATCTCTGACTATAGCTTGATATTGGCATGGTACCTGCTAGAATTAAATCAGTCATATCCATTATCCACTCATCTGGAGGCACTGCCCACACCTTTAATGGTCTAATAACATGTTTACATTTAGGCTTCATATTTTCATATGCCTAGGTCTCTGTCATACCTATCTTGTGTCAGGGTCTGATATGGCTTTGTTCACAGCTGAGACCAACTTGTAAAAAATCAGTGAAGGCTTCTCCAAAGACTTGTATAATCTTTGTAAAGAAGATGGACCTTTTCTGGGCTCCTCAGCTTTGTCCTGAGTGCCTAAAGCTGCTTAGTGACATTTTCTATAGTAGCATCATCAAATTGAATCTGTTCTTGTATATCAGATTTCCACCCTTTGCCCAGCAGCTGATTTTTTACTGTATTCATTGCCCTCACTCTGTTTTGCTGTTCAACATTCACAGCTTCTTCCCTCCACCACGTTAACCATTGCAACTGTGGACCAGCCTCTAGTACAGCTGTCACCAGTCCCTTACAGTCTTGGGGAATAAATCTATTTTGAGTAGCCCAGTTATTTAGAATTTCTTCCACATAAAGTGAGTGCATCCCATGTGAAGCCATGGCCTCTTTAAAATGTCTGCAATCTATCCTTTCTATAGGACACCATCCTATGTCATCATAACCTTGTTCCCCACCACTAGCAGGCATGTGCTATAGGATGACTGGGGACGCAGATGGTGATCTCGGAACCCTTGGCCGTCCTCCTCCCACTCTGGTGGCATTGTTGGTTTGAGATGAACCCTTTCCCTCAAAATGGGCTGTTGCATCAGACTGTCCTCCCGCCTTTTCAGCCATTCTCAGATCTGACCATGCTGCAATGCAGTTTCTTTACCTCTTTCTTCTGTAAGAAACTGCCACTCTCTTGCCCAGTCACTGGAACTGAGCCTTTTTTGTTCTTCCTTTTCCAGTGTTTCTCGCTTCCCAAGTGGCCCACTTCCATCTGCAGTTTTTCCAGTTATACAGCCATCTCTACAACCCTTTCAGAAATGAGAGAGCAGAGTGAACCCTTCTGTTTTTCCATTTCAGCCATATTTTGTTTCTCATGCCCGTCCATTTTCCCCTGTAATTGTCTCAACTGCTCAGCCATTCTCCCAACCTTTTTTGGAACAGAATAGGAAGAAGAAAAGAAAAACAGAAAGTTCTCTCTGGGAGCAAAGTGGGGGATATCCCAGTGGTACTAGCTGAAATAAATTTTTTACTGGCATCTTGAAATAATACCCATTCCTTCATCCCCTGCCATTTCTTTTACAGCATTTGAAACCAGAATCCCCATTCTGCCTGGCCTCACATCTGGACGCCACTTGTAACTGGACTTTGCTGCTCTGTATGTTCTTTTCTCTTCCACCACCACCCCCTTTTCCACCTTTTCAACCCCTTAACACCAGATAGGAGAGAAAAA